GGCAGGGCGGACAGCGACGGATGGGTGCTTCCTTGATGCGCCCCTTTAACCTCTTAAAGTTCTTGACGGTCGTGTGGAGGAGAGGGGCAGCTAGCACTTGCGTGAGACCTGAGACCCACAGACTCCAGCTCTGCCCTCAGCGCCATGACTCAGGTCTCTGCCTTGAACAGGGGGACAGGCCCTTTTAGCACCTGAGGATCTGGGAGGCCCAGGGGTCGGAGGCGCTGCCCTCTGTCGCCTGCGCACCTGCTGCCCATCTCCACTTCCTGCACTTGCTCTGCGCCCTCCCTCTGTGGAGCCGGCTGGCCCGAGCCCTCCCATCGCCCACACTGCCTTTGCGTCACATGCACCTGTGGGTGCTAGCCCTGTGTCGCTGGCCGTCCACTGTGTGCCTGCTGTCACTGCAGGCCTGTGTCACCGGGACCCCTGTCCCCCAGACCGCGCTCTTGTGACCCCATGTTCTGCTCGGTTGCCAGGCATCACCCTCCCGCTTGGGAGCCTCCTGCCTTCCAGCTGTCTACTGGGAGCGCCTTCGGCTCGTGGCCTCTGCCCTCACACTCTCCTGCTGCTTCCCCCTTCCTGCCTTCTGTCTGTCCTTCCGCCCATCCTTCTTTCCTTCCTTCTGTCCATTCCTCTCGGCCAGAGACCTGGCCACCAGCAGCACTAGCAGTGGCGCTCTCTGCTGTCGCTCTCAGGCCTCGGTCTGCTGGCTGTTCTCCCGCGGTCGCGGTCGCGGTCGATCGGAGCTGCTCCCGCTGCCGCCTGCAGCCCCTCTGCCGCCCTCAAAGCCATGGGAGGCGCTGGCCCTCTGCAGCCCCTTCTTCCGTCCCCCTTCCTCACCCGGCTCCTCCCAGGGCCAGCGCTGCCTCCCACTTGTCAATCCATGGGCACCTTCCAGTCTCTTGGGTCTTGTGTCGCGGATCACTGCCACTTAAATGTGTTCTCTCTCTGACCCCACCTTCTGGGGTACCCCCTGCCCTGACCTCTTCTCCGTGTCAGGGCTTGGCAGCCATCGGTGGGCGGTGCGCCCTCTGCATACTCTCCCCGTGGCCGCCCTGACGATTTCTGGGGCATGGGTCCCAGCCAGCTCCTTTCTCCAGCACTCGGGTCTCTGGGTTTTTCTGCCTCTGCTGAGACCCCTGCGAGAGCCCCCTGGACGCCACAAAGCTGTCGTGCCTGGCGGAGAGCGTCCTTCTCGCCTGGCCGTCCCCTGTGCTTCTGGTTTTCGAGTTCGCGGAAGCCCCGTCCTGCCTCTCGTCAGCCAGGTGGGAAACTTGCCGTCTTCCTTGGTCGCAGCGCAGACCTGGTGCCCCTCCCGCTGCTGCCTGCTCGTAGCCAGCCCCTGTCGCCACTCAGGCCGCCGACTGCAGTGGGGCTCTGGCAGCCGGTGACCCCTGTCCTCCGACTCCCCCGATCCCCCTGAGGCCGGTCAACCCCGTTACTCTAGGCCCCCTGAGCACCTGTGCCCGCCTCAGTCCCTGATGGCCCCACGGACGCCCCAAGTCCCTCCTGTGTGGGCAGCGGGTAGGAGCCTAGTCGGTCGCCTGGTGGGCGAGTAACGAAGTGGCCTGTGTGGTGGGCTCCTCCTGCGGCCTCGAGCTGTGGTTTCCCAGAATCCTCTCGTCAGGGTCCTGGCCTCATGTGTCCCTCATGTGTCGTCGTCCCTGCCCCCCTTCCTGCCTCATCGGCTGCGGACGGCCTGCTCCCTGCCCTGCTGTGCCGGCCTGGGGTCTCATCTGTGCCCCACTGCGCCCTGTCCCCATCTACATGGTGCCCAGAGCCTTGTGTCCGTGTCACTTGGTGACTTCTCAGTCATCTGAAGAGGCTGTGCCCCAGGCGGTGGCTCTGCCTCGTTGGACCCCCTTGTTTCTGCACGTTTTTGGCTCACAGGAGGTCCTCAGAAGATAAGACCTAAGCTAGCGGCTGATTGTGACCAACTGGTCTTGGCTTGTAGGGGAGACGGACAGTCAGTCCCTGGGCATAGGTCCAAGACGTTTGCAAGTTGTCTTTTTTTAAAATGGTTGTTGACTTCAGTAAAACCGATGGGAAATTTCAGAAATGTGCCCAAGCAGTCCTGGCAGGCGCTGAGCCCCCGAAGCAGCTGGTTAGCTGACTCTGTTGGGGGGGGGCAGGGTGGGGAGGGGCTGGTGTGGCCCTGGGGGACGGGTATAGGGACCCGTGGGGACACGGGGCAGCAGGGGGCCTGTGTCGAGGTCCAGAGCGCGTACCTGGAGTGGATGCATCATTCTCCCGTAACTGCCAGGGTCCTGATTCCACAGGTTAGGTGAGTCAGTGATAGGACTCATGTTCATGTCCATCCGTGATTAAAAAGTGGTTTATGTGAATCCATTTATAGCGATTTTTATTGTAATTTTATTTACTTGACAGAGAGATCACAACCAGGCAGAGAGTGAGAGAGAGGGAAGCAGACTCCCCACGGAGCAGGGAGCCTGATGTGGGGCTCCATCCCAGGACTCTGAGATTGTGACCTGAGCCAAAGGCAGCGGCTTAACCCACTGAGCCCCCCCAGGTGCCCCTGTAGTGATTATTTTTGAAGCTTCCACTAAGTGGGCCTCCCGTGGAAAAGAGAAGGCAGCTGCTGGGCCGTGATGGGTGCTCTGTCCAGCCTTGCCAGCTTCCGGGGTTCAGCTCGAGTGTCTTTCTGCCCCTATGTGCCAGGACCCCTGTCCTTCCTAGGGCCAGCCCCTCTCTGTGCCTGTGTTCCGTCCCCTCCATGGCAATGGCTGTCAGTTTCTGGATCTGTTTCAAAGGGGAAGGCGGCCAGAGTTGCCAGAAGGTTGGCAGGAGGAGAACTGGATGACCCTGAAGCTTTAGGTTTGAGCAGCTGACCTTGAGACGGAGCCGCCCAGGAGGGCGGGCGGGGGAGGTGGAGGTCACTGGCGGCCAGCTAGGCTCTGTGGTGGCAGCCTCCACCTGCCAGTCTCCAGGGGGCAGAGGGGTGGAGCAGCTCAGGGGAGGGGCTGGCGTCAGGGTGTGCGGATGCGATGTGGATGATGGAGGTCACCTGCCTTGGGAAGTGGGGAGTGCCCCTTCCAGTGTTTGGAGAAATGGGGAACCAGCAGAGGGGATGGAGGTGGGGCAGGCGTGGAGAGAGGCAGAGGACTTGGTGGGGGTGGTCCCGAGGTCCCAGTGCTGGGTGGTCCCACTGCCCCTGCCCAGGGCAGCCGTGTGTGTTTCCCCTGAAAATGTCCTTGAACCGTGGACTCCCTGGCTCAATGTCCTCCCCTGACTTCTGTCCTGCTGGGGACCAGGTCTGGCGTCCTCCAAGTGTGTCCTCCCAGGCTGCTCTCTGCTCCCTAGGATGGCTCCTGTCCCTCCCTTAGCACCCGGTCCCTGCCTCGGCCCCTCATTCTCACGTCACCATCACCTACCAAGAAAGCAGAAATCTTCTCACTGTGTTTTGCTCTAGTCCTCGCTTCTTTTACTGTTGGTACGGTCTGTTGTGATTCAGAAGCCTGGATTTCAAAATAGGATCCTCTCTGACGGGGTCCATTCATTCTGGAGCCTTGGCTGGTTTGTCCCTGAGGTAAGGGTGTGACCCTCTGGCCCTGGTCCTCCCTGCCCGCTGGGCTACCCTGATGCTCTCATCGGGCTTTGAGCCAGGAGCTTGAAAACAAAAGGGCAGTGTACGTGGTAGCTACTGTTGTTGGAAGTAAGCGCCGAGGAGGAGACGGGGGACATGGAGGAGGCCCAGAGGCACAGTGAAGTCACTCAGCGCTCTGAGAACAGTGCGGAGGACGGAGGGTGCGGGGCGGGGGGGGCAGGCGGAGGGTGCTTTGGGGGTCCCTGGCAAGTTTGCCTCTTCCTCAGGCGGTACCACTGAGAGTTGGACCAGAGCCTGGACCGTGCAGGGAGAGGGTGTGCTGCCGGCCCCGGGTCTCAGCCCTGGGTGTCGTGGGTTTCCTTCAGCAGCCTCCTCGGGAGACTGGGCTTGTCTGAACCCTTCCACAGGTGGGGATGGTTCCAGAGCTCGACCGGCGTGTGCGGGGGAGGTCACAGGCTGGAGAGTTAAAGGTCTGCGGGCCTCTCCAGCGGAGACCAGCCTCTGTGTAGACTGTTTCCCAGTCCACTTGAGTACAGAGCGTCCCCACTCTTGGGGGACAGCAGTTGACATCGTGCAGGGCGAGTGTGAGGGACACCACAGGGCCGGCCATTCCAGCCATTTAGAAAGCGAGTGTCCCCAGCTGTGCACAGACAGCTGGTGTATTCATGCGGGAGGTGGTGTAGACACTGACTCAGACTGCGTTCGTGGTTGGTTTCTGCCACCTGTGAGCTTGAGCACGTGGTGTACTTGCTCTGTGCCTCCGTTTCCCCATTTGTAATGCAGAGACGGAAGTCTCGATTTGATGGAATTGTGGTAATGCTTCATGGACACGGTTTGGGTGGCCCTGATGCTGCCTGGTCCAAAGTCGGGTGAAGGCCCGGCACCGCCGTTCTGACCTTGGCACGGTGGCCAGAGGCCCGGCCTTCTCGTCCATAAAGACCGCAGTGTTTGGCCTCGCTCTCCTCTCCAGCTGGATGTCAGAGGAGAGATACGCTCGACTCCCTTCCCAGCACTGATGTCGGCTGTGCTGCCCGCTGTCCCACGGGGTGACCAGCTGCTGGGTGGTCCTGGGTGCCACACGCGTCGCCGGTGGTGGGACCAGGTGCCCTGCCGCCCAGCCTCACTGTGTCTCGGTTGCTTTTTGCCTCCATTACCCCGTTTGGGCTCCCACACCTGCTTCTCGTTCCCCTGTGTCGGGAAGACTTGTTCCCTGAGGTTGTGGTGGGGAAGTTGCTCCGGGGTGTGCCTTGCCCAGGCCTTCCCCGCGGGCGTAAGCAGCCCATTTGCCTCTGCCAGGGGAGAAGGTGTGGGAGTGTGCAGTCCTGGGGTCTCTTTATGTCATCAGTCACCCACAGGACCAGGGGCAGCTCTGTGCTCTGTCAGTGATTTGAACGGACGCGTCACGCTCACGTGGTCCTCTCTTCCCTTGGCTCAGATAACATCCCCGAGGACCTCAGGGACCCCTTTTACATTGACCAGTATGAGCAGGAGCACATCAAACCGCCCGTCCTCAAGCTCCTGCTGTCCAGTGAGCTGTACTGCCGTGTTTGCAGCCTCATCCTCAAGGGGGACCAGGTGGCCGCCCTACAGGGACACCAGTCTGTCATCCAGGCCCTGTCCCGGAAAGGGATTTACGTGATGGAGAGCGACGACACCCCCGTGACGGACCCCGACCTCAGCCAGGCGCCCATAAAGATGGTGAGTTTCCTGCACGTTTGTGGGGGCGGGGGCTGTCTCTGCAGGGACTGCTTTTAGGGCTTCTAGGGCCACGCGGCCACCAGCACGGCGCCCTGGCCTGTCCTGCTGCCGGCTGTCCCCCCGTGGCTCAGCTGCGCGTGGCGTGGTCGTCCCAGAACTTGAGGCACAGGTGGCACGAGCACGAGAGTCCCGCAGGCTGGCTGAGGTTCGCATGTGCGGCGAGGTCCTGAGCTGCGCGTGTCTCGGGGGGCCCGTCGCTGCAGAGCGTGGGGAAGGAGCCGCTTCCTCTCCGCGCTGGTCGGCGTTGGGAGAGCTTTGTGGACGCCGAGCGTGGGCTGAGGCCTGTTAATGAAGCAGCTGGAGGCAGAGATTTTGCAGGCGTTGTGCTCAGCCGTCCTGAGCCTGTCCCGTTGGGTTGTTTTCTGCGCATCGCGTGTGTGACCCGATACAGAAGGAAACGTGCCTGTCTCTCCCCAGCCCCGTTTCCCTCCAGGGGCTGCGCCGCTGGTGGGACTGCATGGGCGGTTTCCCGTGCTCCCCCGTTGCTGCTTGGGCTGGTCACTGGCGTTTTGTGTTCTGTGGCTCTTCACTCGTGGGCTTTGTGACGATGTGTTGTGCGAGTCAAGAGGCTGTTCCTCGGTTCTGGGAAGAAAGGGTGCAAAGGTGTGCTGTGCTGTGAGCCTTCAGGGCTCCTGACTGGCACCCGGGGGCCCGTTCGTGGTCCTGCGGCCTCGGAAACACCTCTTCCCCTTGGACCTTTAGTCTCAGCCCCAAAACAGGGATGCCCCCCTTGGGGCTCTCCAGGTTGTCATGGAGATGAGAAACGCACGGGGCCCTGCACATCACAGAGTGCCGAGGCGGCCGGAGCCTGGGGACGGATGAAGTGCAGATAACGACCTTGACAGAACGGAACTGGGTTGGAGCCTGCGAGCCGAGTCTGTCGAACCTGACTGTTGCTTCTGCTTCCAGAGCGCCCACATGGCGATGGTGGACGCCCTCATGATGGCCTACACCGTGGAGATGATCAGCATTGAGAAGGTGGTGGCCAGCGTCAAACGCTTCTCGACATTCAGCGCCTCGAAGGAGCTTCCGTACGACCTCGAGGACGCCATGGTGTTCTGGGTGAACAAGGTGAGCGCCGGGGCCGCGGCCGGAGCGGGAGCGAGGGGCTGCGGTCGTCTCCCCGAGCAGCGTGAAGGGCTGGGGCGCCGCTTGGGCGGCAGCTGCTGTCTCCGCAGAGGACGGGAGGCACCTCCTCGCGTGTTGCGCTGAGAACCAGCCCCTGGCAGGGCCCGTGGGGGCTGGAGGCGAGTGCGCCGTGTGCGCCATGTGCCGGCGGCCGTCGGACGGAGAGGGCTCCGCGCCTGACTGTGGAAAGGAGGGGTGTGTGCGGGGCACGAGGAGCAGCGCGCCTCTCGGCCTGTCGAGGTTCATCTCCCTGCCTCTGGGCATTCAAGGAGGCCTCGATTTTACAAGGCACTTTGGCGATTAAAAGAGAAGTGGCATTTTCCTGAGTGCCGTTTCCCCTTCTTGAGTTTAGGGGCCGCCAGTGTAACCTGCAGAGTGTGGAAGTACTTTCAGTGGCCTGTGTTATTGATAGGGTTACCTCACCAAAGCTTTTTGGTTAATAAGCATCCTTATTTGCACGTGTGCACTGGGGGACGATTGGGTCATAAAGCAGAGGGAACAGAAGACGGAGCTGTGCCCTGTCACGCTGTTTGAGTGTGCCACGAGTTGTAAATGACTTCCTTATACAGACGTGCGTGCATTCTTACAGTGTAAGGCTTTAATAAGAGGCGAGGTAAGGATCCGTGGCGATGGAATGAGTCAAACGTGGTGAAGCCAGGCCCTGGTGAAAGGGCCTCCTTCATTGTCCTGAGAAGCAAGGCCTTATGTCAAGTGCCTGTCGTAACTACTCACTAAGACGCCCGTTGTATACTTGGTTTCCCACCCAGGTGTAGGTCAGGGGGATCAGATGGGAGGACCAGACGACCTAGAGCTCTTCCCAGTGAGGTAGAGGGCTTCTCCAGGGTTCACTGGAACCTCTGGGTCCTGGTGTGGACTTGGAAGCTGGCCATGGCCCAGCAGGTCGCCTCTTACTTGTCGCCGCATGTCTTACTTGTCGTTTGTGTAATCCCACACGTGTCGGAAGCACCCACAAGAACTTGGTTAAAAAATGATGTTTGGGGGGGCGCCTGGGTGGCTCAATGGGTTAAGCCTCTGCCTTCGGCTCAGGTCATGATCTCGGGGTCCTGGGATCGAGCCCCACGTTAGGCTCTCTGCTCAGCGGGGAGCCTGCTTCCCTCTCTCTCTGCCTGCCTCTCTGCCTACTTGTGATCTCTCTGTCAAATGGATAAGATCTTTAAAAAAAAAAATGATGTTTGGGGCTGCTGTGTTTCCATAGGAAACTGAACCCTGAGTGATTCTTTCTTTCCTTCTTTTTTTGTTTTGAGAGCGAGAGGTAGGGAGGGACAGAGGAAGAGGGAGTGAGACACTCTCCAGCAGGCTTCTCGCGGAGCGTGGCGTCCATTGCGGAGCTCGGTTTCACCGTCCTGAGATCATGAGCTAAGGTGAAACCTAGAGTCCGCCGCTTTGCCGAGCGAGCCCCGCCTGCGCTCGCCGCCGGGGTTTCTGTAAATCCAGCGTGAGCGTCTGTGGTCAGGCGTTGGGTGTGTGTGTTCTTACCGGTGACCTGCAAAGCTGCGTTCGTTTCAGGAGGTCAGCATAGCGATTGGACAGCTCTCTCCCAGCCGTGGTTGCCGCAGACAGAGCCGCTGTCCGTCGCCACACGGCCTCCGCAGCGTGTCTTGACCTTGTGCTCTATGTTACTCCTTTTCTCACCGCTGAAGTTCAAGTTCTAGCCTTTTTCCCCTCTAACAACTTTCATTGAGTTTTTCCCTTTATAAACGAAATGACATGGTCATTATAGAAAATTTAGAAAGCATGATGAGTAAACAAAATCAAATACATATTTGCTGTAACCTTACCAGCTGGAAATGTAGTGTTTTAATATAAACTCTCATCATTTTTGTTCATTTGGATGTAATATGTAGGCTTAAAGGCACAACTGGGTGCTTCCAGCTGCTGGGCCCCAAGCTGAGGCTTGCCGTTGGTGGGATGGGGAGGGGTGTCTGGGCCGGCCTGCTGCGGTCTCTGGGTGTGGCCTATGTAGGTGGCTGTGCGCGTTTTGCTCCTGCACGCGACTGGTGGCCAGTGGTTGCCACGTAGCTGAGGTTCATTTCTAAAGGCTTTGGAGTGGTTTCTGCAGGTTCTGAGTGTAGCGGTCGGACTGGCTTTTCATACCGTTAGTCCATGAAGGCGTCTTATTCCATGACTTCCCATAGATCGGAGATGACCGATAAAGAACTTGCCGTTTTTAAGGGTGAAACATAGTGTCATCTTTTACTTTTATGTTTTCATTCACTGGTCAAATCAAAGTTTAAGAAATAGGGTATATGTTTGGCTATTTCCTTTTTTTTTTTTGTAAATTGTCATCTTTGGTCATATTTCTTTGGGGCTGGGGTGTATTCCTTTTCTCCCCTACGTGATCGCGTTTCACATGTCTTTAGGGGTTGCCCTGTGTTGCCGTATTTTTGTACACGGTTCTCCGGGTTCTGTTGCCTCTGTTTGCCTGTGGGCCGTGGCTGCGGCGCAGAAGGTGGTCGTCGTGTGGCCGGCTGCGTCACTTCCATCTGTTCACGGCTGTTTTCTGGCACTCACCTCTGTTTTAAAGAAATGACCTGCTTCTGGCTCATCTGCTTCTGGTAGGCGTTGCCTTACCGTTTATCATTCGCTCATAGGACCTTCCCCTTAGGTCCCTGGTGGCCTCCTGTGGTCGCGTGGCCTCCTGGGGTTGGATCTGCAGTCAGAGGTGACATAACTGTGACTAGGAACGACCTTGTCACGGCTCGCAGCCCTTTTCTTGAGGCCGCACTTCGGTTTTCCTGGAGTTAATGCTTGCTTCCGTTTTTTTGTGACTTTCCTTTGTCCTTGCCCAGTAGTTACATTTTTATTCAGTGTTTTCCATGTTTCGCTAGTTCCTTAGCATTTCCGTGTGAACACAAACTTTTTTTGTTGGTCGGTTTTCCCTCCTGTGTGTTCTTCGACGCTGGCCGAGTGCTGAGCTCTGGCCGGGGCGGCCGCGCTCAGGGCTTCACCGCGGTTTCGCTCCAGCATGGACTCGCAGTGTCAGACGGGGGCTGTGCTCACTCAGCTGCTTGCAGGCTCCTCCGGGACGGGGGCTCTGACGCAGGGCAAGATGCACCCCACGCTCTCTGCACCCAGGGTTTTCCCGGAACTGTGACGAGCCGTGAGCTCCCCAAAGCCTTTCCCACATGGACTCCAGTGGCTGTGGGTCCTCGGGTGCCTGGTGGCTTAGCAGGGGGCCCAGAGACCTTCCCACCTTCATTCTGCGGTGGGTTTTCTCCCCACTGAAAACTGCTGCATGTTTAACAAGGTTCAGGTTCTCAGGAGGTCCCGTAGGAGCTTTCTCTCCGGCATCAGTCTTCAGTGCCTGAGGAGATCTGGGTCTTCTTCGAGCTGTGGTTATACACAGTGTGTTCCCCAGATTCCTGCTGGGTCAGTACGCTTGGGTACAGATTTTGGCTTTTCTCACTGCTGTGTTGGCCTGTTTTCACTTGGGAAGGTATTTCTGTGGGTTTACTTCCTTTCTGTGTCTGGGTGCTGTCACCCCTTTCAGCCACTGTGGAGTCACACGCCTGTCTGGCGACCTCTGGGTTTTTTTCCTCTGTGGCATCACTTCTAGGGACTGTGCTGCCCAGCCTAGTGGTTCGGTGGTTGCCACCTAGGCTCTTGCCTACCTGCCAGCTGGCACTTGCCTCACCACCATCTGGAGAGCCCTTGGCGTCCGTGCTGGGCCGGCCCCCTGGCCTCCCTCTCAGCGGGTGCTGCTGTGCCGGGAGCATGTCCGGACATGGCTGTGTGCTCAGAAAGGTTGCGGCTTTGCCCGCATTCCCCAGCTTCTGAGCAGGCCCCTTTCCCTCCCTCTGGGTCATCGGGCACTCTGGAGGGGGCTGGGGAATTGCCCTCCCTAGGGCTGGGACTCACCACTGAGCTGTTCTCCAGAGTCCCTGTTCTCAGTGTGTGACTGAGCTGTCCTGTGTCCCGGAGTTCGGGAGTTGTACCAGGACCATCTTGCTGTGGCTTTTTTCATTTTTCTTGATGGCTGGCCAGTTGCTTGGTCTTTGACAAACAAACAAAACCCAGCTTCACTGCTGTATGTTTGAGTTTGGACAAGTGGCTGTGTGTTTAACACTCACAGTCAAGGTGGCATCTCCGTCACGTTACAGAGTCCCTTTGTCCCTTTGCAGTAGTGCTGCAGCCTAGATCACTGCCCGTCTGCTTTCTTCCCTGGGAGTTAGTTTTAGCTCTTTCAGGTTTTGATAGACATAGACCCGTGTATGTGCTCATTTTGTGCCTGGCTTCTTCCGCGGAATGAAGTGGTTTTGAAATCGATCCATGCTAGTGTGTCTGCCAGCGGTTTTCTTTTTGAACTCAGGAGGGTTCCATTGTATGAGCAGAGCGTGGCTTCCCGGTCCCCTGTGATGGGCACCGCGCTTGTTCCCAGGGTCGGTCTCTTGTGACTGGCGCTGCCAGGGACACTGCGCACAAGTCCACGCGCGGGGTGTGTTTTCGTTTCGTTGAGTAGCGTACGGAGGAGTAGGGTTGCCGGGTCAGCGATACGGACGTATGACCGACCGTTGGAAGAGATTGCCGGAGTGTCTTCACAAGTGACGAATCTCCCACTGATGAGGGAGCCCCGGTGCCCCCGACCGTTGCCAGCACTTGGCCTCGTCGGTCCGTCCGGGCGCTGTTGGAGCGGACGTGTGCGGCGGCTTCCCACGGCTTTCCTCCGCTCCTTCCCGAGGACTGGAGACGCTTGTAGGTGTCCGTGGTTAGCTGCGTGTTCGAGTACGCTGCCCGACTTCGGGTTTTGTATTTAATTCTGTGTCAGTTTGGGTGACTTGTGACTTCCAGGGAATCTCAGTTTTACTTAAATGATTGAATTAAATTATTATCCGTTCGATGTGTGCGTGTCTGTAGTGACGTCTCCTCTTGTTGCTGTCACTTGAGTTTCTTTCCTGGGTTTGGTCTGGTTTGTCACCTTCTGTGATCTTCCGAAAACATGCTTTAGATTTTTACTGATTGATTTGCTATTTAACTTCTCTTCCTTTTTATTTTGAATTTGCTTTGCTCTCCTCTCTGGTTGAAGGCAGAAAGTGAGCTCTTACAGCCCTGTCTTCGCGCCAGCCTGTAGCTCTCCAGCAGGAGCGCCCCCATTTGTGTGCTGGGGCGCCGTCCGCAGCTCCCCCTGCGGCGTCCTGCTACCCCCGCGGCTTACCTGGAGTGCAGGGCTGAGTCTGTGCGCGGAGGCTGCTGGGCTCCTGCACTGCTCCGGTTTTGCACTCTCTTGTGCTCGGACAGTAGAGACCGCGATGTCAGCCCCAAGTCTGTTGGGGTCTGACGGTCCGCGGCGCGGCTTTCTTAAGTGCTTGGTGGGTGCAGGGACATGGCGCGTGCTGTGCCAGCGCCGTGGGGTACTCTGCCATGGAGGTCCCGGCTGTGGGCGCCCCGTCCCACCGCCACTGTGACAGGCCTTGTGGTCTCGGCACCCGTCGTAGGTTCTGCTCTGCTGTGTTGTTCCTTGCAGTCCACTGTTATAGGTACGGTCTCCAGGATTGCTGTATCTCCTGGATGGATTAACCCTTTTGTCATCAGGGAGTGTCTGTCTCTCTCCCAGGTGCCTGTCCTTGTCCCCAGGGCCTCCTCCACTCCTGAAGCACAGCCGCCCAGCTTCCTAACCACTGGTGCGCCTGTGCTGTGCCGTTCCCTTCCTCCTCTGTGCGTCTTCACTCTCTGTTGTCTGTCTTCCCTTTTTTATTTTATTTTTTTTTAAAAGTTCTCGTTTTCAGTAATCCCTACCAGCATGGGGCTCGAACACATAAGCCCCCAAGATCAAGAGTCCAGGCTCCACACTAAGCCACCAGGCGCCCCTCTCTCGTCTTTCTCTTTAACACGAGCACCGGCCTTGTCGCTGAAGCGTTCAGAGCAGTTACGTGTAATGTGGTTCCCAAGACATGTGGGCTTGAGATCTGCTTTCCATTTTTCTCATGTTTTCCTTTTCTTTCTTCTTTTCTGGCTTATGTTGGACTGTTTCTCAGTACTCCTCTTTATAGTGTTTGGGGCTCGTTTAGGGTTTACTGTACGCATCCTCACTTCTGTACGGTTGACGTCAGATCAAGTGATACCATTTCACAAATGATGTCAGAAACGTCTTTTCCTTTCCTGACCTCTGTGGTTCTGCTGGCATTCACTTCCCTGTAATCGCAGACATGTTACTTTGCTTTCAACGGTCAGATAGCCTTTTAAAAAAATCATCATCATTATTATTATTTTAAAGATCTTATTTATTTATCGGACAGAGAGAGAGATCACAAGCAGGCAGAGAGGCAGGCAGAGAGAGGGGGAAGCAGGCTCCCCGCAGAGCAGAGAGCCCGATGCGGGGCTCGATCCCCAGGATCCTGAGATCATGACCTGAGCTGAAGGTAGAGGCTTAACCCACTGAACCACCCACATGGTCTGCCTGTGTTCTTGTTTAATAAAACACTCAGTTTCGGGCGCCTAGGTGGCGCGGTGACTGCCTTCGGCTCAGGTCATGATCCTAGGGTCCTGGGATCAGGTCCTGCGTCGGGCTCCCTGCTCAGAGGGAAGCCTGCTTCTTCCTGTCCCTCTGCCCCTCCCCCTGCTTGTACTCCCCCACCCCCGTCTCTGTCAAATAAATAAATAAAATCTTAAAAAATAAATTCAGTTTGGTGTTTTCTCATCTGATCATAGTTCTGACCATATCCCTTGAAATTCACATCAATGAGTATTTTTCTCCAAGATTTTATTTATTTTTTTAAACATTTATTTATTTTGAGAGAGAGAGGACATGCGCATGCAGGGGTGGGGGGAGGAGAGAGACTCCTCAAGCAGACTGCCTGCTGAGCCCAGCACCCGCCTTCAGGGCTCGATCCCAGGAACCCGGGATCATGAGCTCAGCCACACCTGGGAGTCAGACCTCAGCTGACTGAGCCACCCAGCGCCCCTTGTGTATTACTTTATGATTGCAGTTTTGATTTTCTCTTTGGGTTAATCATTTAAGAGAGAATACTTTAATTTCTGATAGCTTGTATTAGTTGTTTAAGGGGCGACAGTTAAATCCTGTGGTTAACGTTGAGTTGGTGTCAAGTGTGACCCGGCAGGGAGCTCGTGGGACACCCACTGGGCTCTGCCGCGGGCCGTCCCAGCCACACGGTCTCACAAGTGGCGTTTGCTGGTGGTGACAGTATGCGCTGTCTGTGCGCCCCAGGCATTCACCGAGGTGGCCCGTTGACCCTGTCGTGAGGCGACGAGCATCACACGGGTGGGCAGGGGCATGGAGTTTTTCGGGGAGCAGCGGGCCAGCTTTGGTCTCCCTGTGGAGCGGCCGTGCCGTGGGGCCCGTGTACTCCTGCATCCGCGCGGTGGGCCTCAGGGATGCCTGCGCCCGCGGGAACGTGGACAGGCGGGGTGGGGTGCAGCTGGGGGTGCAGAGGTTCGGGTGTGCAGATACCAAAGCCATCGCCCTTTTAATGCATTTTTCTTCTGCTTCAGGTAAACCTTAAAATGAGGGAGATAACAGAAAAAGAAGTGAAGTTAAAGCAGCAGTTGTTGGAAAGCCCAGCTCACCAAAAGGTAAAGGGTCAGTTCAGCTCGTCCGGAACGCATCCAGCTAGTGTTCTCTGGGTTTGAAGAATTGTGTCAGTGCTCACTACTAGCTTACTCTTTACTTGCACGCCCCCGCCCCACCCCTGCGGAGGAGCGAGGCCCCGAGGTCTCCCAGTGGACCAGCTCCGTGCCTCGGTGGTGGGCGTGGCAGCGCTCTCCGGGTTTCTCCCTGCCCGGGATGGGAGGGTGGGGGCCGTGGGAGGGAGAGGGAGACGTTGGGAGGGATTGGAAACTCAAGAATGGGGACGTGTAGCGCTACCTGGGCATTAGCCTCTAGATGCCACCAGTTGAGGAGAAAACCGCCTGCTGTCAGAGGTGCCCTCGAGAATCCCTTCCGTGGCCCATGAGGCCGAGCGTGGCCGGTGGTGTGTCTAGAGCCTGGAGCCCAGGCAGATAATGTTACGTGTCCCACGAAACGACACGGATGCTGCATTATCCATTCTGCTCATTTCTGCCCTTTCCTTCCCCTGCCATAGTATTTTCTTGCTAAGCAGGCATGTGACTGAAGCCACATCCCTTACACGCATGTACCATGTGGCCCGGTCACGTCTGTGGTCTCAGCGTCCCTTCGCCTCCTCCACGCGCTCCTGGACTCCGGGGATGCCGTGGGCACCACGCTCTGGGCCACACTTCCCGAGCCTCATTGGTCTGCAGACGGGCACAGACGGCGCCCTGAGCGCCTCTCCGGGTGGCAGTTGGTATCTGTCGGTGGTGGTGCCTGGCCCGCGCCAAGTTTCCAGGGTGTCCTTTGCTCCCGCAGAGGCTAGTGTTGGTGGAGGTGCCTGTGACTTTCCACCTCAGTTGTGTGGTGAGCGAGGGCTTCCAGGTCACGTGTACCGGACAGCCCTTACTTCTCAGAGGACGTCCCGGCTCTGTGAATGTTGCGTGACAGCGTGTCTGACGCGGTCCCGCCAGGGCCTGTCTGCTGACACTCTCTCCTGCTTCCTCCCCTGCTTCCCGAGCAGTCCCCCTCCAAGTGGTACTGGAAGTTAGTGCCCGTAAGTGAACGCCGTGCGCCCAGCCGCACCAGACAGCCATCGTGTCGCGGTCACTTGCTTCCATTAAACAGCTGCTCACACTCAAACCCGGTCCTTTGGTTGAAAGGTCCTCCCCGGGATGGGTACTGCTTTTCTCCAGTGCGAGGCTTTTTGTAACCACACCCAGCTTGGTTTTGCCCGATTTCTTAGGTGATTTTACTGGCAGAGTCTGGCGTTTTTTCTTATGGACACTTAGTTTACTTCTTTATGTGATGAATATAAACATAGACCAGAGGACCTGTCTTTAGTCTAACAGATACAGGAAGGAACAGTCGAATTTCCAGGTTACTCCTTGACTTTTTGTCAAGATGTTACATTCCCTGACGGTGAGATTTAGTGTGACATCTCCTTGTGAGTGAGACCCGAGCCACGGGGTGGCTGCAGGAGGTGTGCCTCGTGGAAGGCCGCTCGCGTGGCAGAGGGAGACATCCTTCTCTAGAGACGTCTCGTGGGGTGTGCGGGGCACCCCTGCTCCCTTCCCATCCCCGCACTCTGGGGTGGGGAGTGGGACGGCTAGGCAAGGGTCTGAATTAGGTCAGCAGATTCAGGATTTCTGGAATCCAATTTAACAGTAAGTGTGAATTTTCCCGTATGAAGAAAGTTAAAAAGTGGGGATTTGGGTCTACAGTTTTAGCTGTGCTCCCCTTGGTGATACTTTCTAGAAGCAGAACCCGTTTGTTACCCCATTCCTGTGGGAAAACACGGGGCCCTTCCAGTGGTGCGTCTTAGGCTGGAGTTGTGGCGCGCAGAGCTTTCCGCAGACTCTTCGTTGCCTGTGCCTTCAGTTTAATTGTTCAGACCAGCCAGTCCTTAGTGTTTTATCATGAGGGAGACACCATGGCTGTCAGCTGGCCAGCGGGTGCGTCTGCTGATTCTGCTTTGTGGCCAACTTGGGGGAGGATTTTGCTTTTCTTTGAGATGCGATTGTAACCAAGACGAGGACAAGCTTGTTAGGAGTGTTTGTGTGTCTCCACACTTCTTGAGCCCCGATGGCCAAGGGCCTAAGTGTTAAGTTACATTACTTAGTGAGGATGTCGTCGGGAATTGAGCCGTCCTGTAGGAAGGCGAGTGTCCTCGGACAGTGTCCTAGAGTCTGAAAGACGCGGTCAGGAGCAGTGGCCCTTCAGGCCCCACGTAGAGGCTGGTAGCTGGGGCCGCGCCTCCAGCGCCTGGTGGACGGGCTCGTGGGGCCGAGTCCGGGGCACGGCGGGCAGGCCTGGCAGGCCCAGCCAGCGCTGGCGCTGTGCGGCCTGGACGTTTTAGAGACCTGCCTTGAAGGTAACGAGACAAGCTCTCTGGACCCCGAGGTTGAGTCATTTTCCCCGATCTTCAGCCCATGCCATCCATCTTCCGCGAGACGCCATTTGCTTTGCTGCATGCCGTGGTCCGTCTGTCACCGTGTGTGCTGTGTCGTGTGTGTGGAAGCCTGGCCCGGTGCATGCGCTCTGCTCTGAACCCGGCCCGCGGGCTGTCCCATGGCCGCCCGCCGTCCCTGCTGTCGCGGGCCCTGAGAAACAAGTTAAAGTCTCCGTCAGCACACATCAGGGGCACGGAGCAACCCCGTTGCTGCTTGGGACAGAGTGCCGGATGCGCGGCCCGCCCCGGCTGTGTCGGCTCTTCTGCTCGGGATGATACTTAGACAACTTTAAATTCTTGATTACTCGGAGATGGTTTTTCTTCGGGTGGAATCCTGCATGAGTCTCAGAAATCCGCGGTCGTCAGGACGGACGGCTGGTTTTCTTTCCTGTTTGCCTCGTGTGTTTTCTTCCCCCGGAGTGAGGCGGCTGTGCTGTGACGGTTGATGCAGAAGAAACGGAGCGCGCGCACGGCGGGACCCCGGGGACGGGCGCCTGAGTGGACTCGCCTCCCCTGGGTGGCGTGTGTGTCTGCACACCCGTCCCCGGATGTCCTGTGGTGGGGGCCGTGCCGGCAGGCCGGGGGTGCTCAGGGCAGGTACACAGCCCCTCCTCCGAAGGCAGGAGGGTGGAGGCCGCGGCCGCCTACTTGTCACAGGGCACGTGCGCGTCCGGTCTCCTGACGCCCTGTTGCGTTTGCGAGAAGTCTGTGAATTTCCTTCAGCACGGTTTGGGGAGTTTCTCAAGCCGTACGTTGGTGGTGTTTCGCCCCTTTCCTCACGGCTGAGGTTAGGGCTGATCCGGCCGAGCCAGGAGCAGTGAGGCAGGTCTTCTGAGCCTCGGTGTCTCACCATTTAACTTGTTTCTCATCGTGCCGAGCGGGCGGCTTTCGGGAGCGTGGCCGCGCACCCTGCCTCCTCTCTCGTGCGCCCTCAGAGTGGGACAGCCCGGCGGCGTCCGCGGCTCGCTGCTGTCCCCCAGGGTGGCCGTGGCTCTCAGCTCCCCGGGTCTTAGCATGTGTGTTCAAGGCAGAGCACGTCATCCAGACATTCGAGCTTTCCCTGTGTGATGGCCATTGTTCCCGCGTCATCTAGCGGGCAGCGTGTCCACTGTCCACGTGACGGCCTGCAGCGTGGCGGTCGTGGGGGCGCGGCACGCGTACACTGTTCTCCTTCTGTCGACTGCAGGTGCGCTATCGCCGAGAGCACCTGTCCGCCAGGCAGCCGCCCTACTTCCCGTTGTTGGAGGACCTGATGCGGGACGGCAGTGACGGGGCCGCGCTCTTGGCTGTGGTCCACTACTACTGCCCAGAGCAGATGAAGCTGGACGGTGAGTGCCGCACACCCCTGGGAGCGGACCCGAGCCCTGCGGAAGCGCCACGCGTGTGTGGGGCCAGATGCGTAAAGGGCCGGGGCGTAGCACGCGGAGTCCTTGACCCCAGCCAGGATGTCCGTGACTAGAGACAGACCAGGGTGATGTGCTTATGCTTGACCTGCGTTTTTATCTCACGAAGAAATGGGATTTTGGAAGTACTTGGGTAAAGTCCTAAACATATGTGACTTCTCTTACATTTCAGTGTGGTTAGGGTTTTGTCCATCCTGCTACAGCCCATTTGAAACATCTAGAACTGGGGGCCTGGTTGCTCTGTCTCAGCTCAGGCCTTGATCTCAGGGTGGTGAGCTCAAGCCCTGCGTGGGGCTCCACGCCCCCCTCAGTAAAACTGAAATCATCTAGAGCCTAGTTGGGAGACGGCAAGTGTGGGGTGCGTTTCTGAGGGGCTCCCGCATGCGTCATGCTGGTGACAGGAAAGTGTGTCTCTTAGGTGTCCGTAGCCCGGTGGGTAGGGAGGAGACGCAGACGGCTCTGTGGACTGCAGGGCAGCGGAAGTCTGTGGGGGCTGCGGGAACAGGAATTCGGGTTTAGGTTTTGCTAAGCATCCTTCCTTCTTTCTGAGGGAGGGAGGCGCAGGCCAGGAGCGTGCCCAGACGACTCCCTTACCCGTGAGGTATTTGTGTTAGACGCGGACCCCAGGGGATGGAGCGGAGGTTATCCTGCCTCAAGCACAGGGGAGCTGGATGTCGTAGCGTTTATAGCTAAAGCAGTAGCTGAGCTTGAAAGGAAAGGACAGTCTTTCTGTCCACCAGAGGAGGTGGGTTCCAGAGAGGGTCTCTGTCTTGGAGTGAAAATCGTGATTGGCACCCGTTCGCCCCTGGGCCCCTCAGGCCTCTCATGCTCTTCCGGCCTCGGGGCTGTGTTTTTGGGAGCATTGTGATCGGACCAAGGAAAAGACTAGGAAAGGCCCACGTACTGGCCTTGGAAAGATTGAGGAGACTTGTCGGAAGCCTGTGGCCCTGGGGCTGGGGTGATCTTTCTTGAGGGAACAGATCTTCCAGGATGCATCATGGGTGTGAAGGGGTTGACTTGTATGTTGCCTGCGTGGTGAGGGGAAGTTTCTTCCTCAACTGAGTCTAGCACTAGTTGGAGTCTGGGGCCATGGCAGGAGGGAGAGGGGAGGGGGTCTGCTTAAGGCACCTCCAGGAGCCAGGACTCCCCACGTGCCTGCGGAGAACGGCCACCCCACCACTGAAGACGAGCTCTGTGGGAAAGCGGGGCCGTGTGGGGAACGGCACATACGACCGCAGGTTTGACTCCCAGGCGGGGGTGAAAAGGAATGTTGGAACGAGAAGCAGAATGTTCAGAATGACAAAGGACGTTCAAAAAGAGGTGGGAACCCTAAGAGGGGGGACGGGATTGTTCAGTGTGTGCTGGAACTTTCCCGTGCCCTCAGCACCTCGGTTGGGGTTTCCATGCCCGTCGCCCTCCGCATTCTGGCTGTTTCTCAGTCCGCCTTCCGGCTCAGCAGCGCAGACGGCTCCTGCTTCCGGTGCATCCGGCCTGCCCCTCTGACCCGTGCGTCGGGGTCACAAGACAAAACGAGTTTCTGGCAGGAGGGAGTCCCCAGGACAGAGGAGGTGGAGCCACGGGAAGACGTGGCCGGGTCGAGCCTCGTTGCGTCCGACAGCAGCACATCAGCGTGGGTTTTAAAGTGACCAAAGTCCAGGAGGCATGAATGGAGTCACACCCTTAAGTTCAGTCACGGAAGCTGAGGAGGCGCGGGTACGAGTGGGGGAAGGCCGGGAAGATTCGGCATCAGGGACCTGGCTTGGTCCAGTGCGCGACTGCCGCGGGGTCTGCGCTTTGAAAAGAAGCAAGCCTGGAAATGTCTGTGGAAAATGGACTTGATTAAGGCCCCAAAAGTGACCTCGGCAGGTTGCAGAGAACTGATACTCTTCCCACGATGCAGTAAATGGAGAAATCGTTCTTCAAATCTCTAAAATTTTTTTTTTTAAAGATTTTATTTATTTGTCAGAGAGAGAGAGAGCACAGGCAGGCAGAGAGAGACTGCCGAGCAAGGAGCCTGATGTGGGACTCGATCCCGGGACGCTGGGATCATGACCTGAGCCCAAGGCAGCCGCTTAACCCACTGAGCCACCCAAGCGCCCCTAAATCTCTAAAATTTTTAATGTTTAGAAAGCAAAGAAGATACGTGGCCGTCCTAGTGGGGGGGTCTCCAGTGCGAGCTCCTCAAGGGCAGAGTTCCTGTCTGTCCCATCCAGGGGCGCACCCCGCCCGTCTCACCGCGCTGAGGACAGGTCGGTGCTTGGTGGACCCGCGCCTCCCAGCGAACGGACCACATGCACAGAGCTTGTGCTGGGCAGCCACGGGCGGCGGGAAAGGGCAGACCTGTGGCCGCAGGGCACATTCTGGAAAATGAGGAACTTTTAAAAATTAATGAACTAGGTTGATCTAGTGCATTAGAAAAGAAGCCCGAAGAAAGCCGAAGGAAGGAGAACGGGGAGTGGCGTTCTCTCCCCTTCCGTCGTCAGCAACCAGACAGCTGGGAGCTGAGGCGCGGACTCGGTCACGGAGGGCGCCAGGCCGCGTCCGGACTCTGAGCAGCGAGCGCCTGGTTACGGCGCGGCGAGGAGCTGCGGTGCTCAAGCCAGGGAAGGGGACCCGCTCACTCCTGAGAACCCCAGAAAGGCAGCAGGACAGACGCACTCAGGGAGGGACACGGTGGGGACTTGGCAGGGGTGCCTGCCGCGAGGGCGCGGTCCCTCCTCCTCCTTCAGGCCGTGGTGACCTGACACAGCTCAGGAGGTGGGCCACACAGCTCTCCTGTCGCGCGTCTCGCGCACAGGCGGCCAGGCTCGGCGGCCGGGCGCCCTGAGAGCCGGCCCTGGAGGGAGCCTCATTCCGGAGGGCGAGACGCTGCTGCTTGCCCTTCGCCTGCCCAGGCGGCTGCCTGCCTCCCGCGGCCTTGGGGGCGGCGCGCACGCGGAGGGTGTTCGCAGTCGCATAAGAGAATGAAATCTGGCCTTTTGCGACCACATGCATGGACCTGAAGGTATCAAGCTCAGCGCAGTAAGGCAGGTAAATAGTGTATGATTTCACTTACGTGTGGGATGTACAAAAACAAACCAACGCGGGGGCCGGGTGGGTGGTTGCCAGGGCGGGGCCGGGGAGGGAGAGTACGGACCTCAGTCACAGAAGCAGCCCCGGGGCGACAAGGACCGCACGGGGGTCCAGTCGGCAGTGTGGGCGCGGCCTCGTGCGGGGACAGTGACCTCACGTGTCGTGGGGAGCATCTCACGACGTGTGTAGCTGCCAGCTCGCTCCTCTCTACGCCTGAAGCTAGTGTAATGTCAGCTGCGCGTCAGTCCGTCGTGCCGGGGCGCCCCGGGGCTCAGCGGGTGAAGGGTGTCTTCGGCTCAGGTCACGATCCCGGGGTCCTGGGATGCAGGCCCGCGTCGGGCTCCCTGCTCCTCGGGAGCCTGCTTCCCCTCTGTGCACGCCCCCAATGTGCATGCTCTCTCTCTGTCTCTAGAAAAAACAAATAAATATTAAAAGAAAGTTGTGTTAACTTCTGTCTAATCTTGCTTCCTGTCATCATATCAAGTGGAATAAAGTAATGTGCTTGAAGACTGATTTTTACCAGCATTTCTTCGTATTAGTGATTTTTTTTTTTTTTTAAGATTTTATTTGTTTATTTGACAGAGAGAGATCACAAGTAGACAGAGAGAGAGAGAGAGGGAAGCAGGCTCCCTGCTGAGCAGAGAGCCCGATGCGGGACTCGATCCCAGGACCCTGAGATCATGACCTGAGCTGAAGGCAGCGGCTTAACCCACTGAGCCACCCAGGCGCCCTCGTATTAGTGATTTTTTAAGCGACCAAGTGTTTTATATCTCATTTTATGGCGTAAGGACGATTTTTATATCATTGAATAAATAAATGAATCTGCAGTGCTAAAGACAAGGGGAAAGGGTTCTTCTCTGTGGAAACTGGCCTTGGGCAGTCCCACAGCTGCTGCCCACTGGCGGTCCTCCGGGAGAGCGCTGGCCGCCCGCTGCCCCACTGCAGAGCCTTCTTCCTGCGGCCTTACCCTTGACCCTGGGCAGCCGCCGATCCCCCAGCATTTGAGGAAGTTACTGGCCTGAACTCGAGGCCCGGTCAGCAGAGGCCATGCAGGAGGGCAAGAGAAAACACGGGAGATGAGAGAGGACAGCGGGTCTGTGGTCAGGGACAGGGCGCCAGCGGGGACCAGTGCCGAACACGGGTGTGTGGTGTGACGGCGCAGACGGGCTCTGGAAATAAGACGCAGCTGCTGAAATTTCGGAGTTCGCGCAAGTGCTGAGGACAGCTTTGAAGAGCTCTCCCAGCAATGAGAGTCCAAAAGCAAAGTGGACGGCGGGAGAGAAGATGTAGAACAGCGAGAGGCCCTGTCTGGACAGACAGGACTGGAAGGCGGGGGACTTAGCTGGGATGGCTACAGAATGTGCCGGAAACAGGCTGTGAGAAGCCGCTGCCCACTTGTGCTGGACGCCCTGGAAGCCCGCCGGTTCTGGGCCCGCGCGGACTGCTGTGGACGTGCTGCGCCTACACAGTCCGCCCTCGGGGTCCTGGCCTCGGGGTCCTGCCCTGCCCTTTCCCTGCCTCCGGGAGCCACTGGCCCTGAGTCCTGAACAAAGGAGGACCCGTTGACGGTCCTTGGAAAGAGTTTTGAACTATATTCGCAGATGCGAAGCATCGGTATAAAACCCGTAATTTCCTCGGATTGTTCATTTGTTGCCGGTCCAGTACATGAATTGTTACAGAAAGGGACAAAGTAACGTAAAAATTTACTTGGAAGCGTGAAGGCAAAGGGACACGGTGACTGTTCTATTGCATTTTATTTGGGTACGCGTGAGTCACAGGAGATGCACGAGGGATTCCCGCTGTAGTTTGCTCCAGATGCTGCCTTTGTTCCGCGCTGTCTCGCGCGTGCTGGATTTTCTCTCTCTGGACCATTTGAGAAGGACTTGGGGGACAAAGGCATTCTGTCCTCACAGCAAGAGTCAGGAACGTTTTGTCCGTTGTCACTGTAGGGTCGCTGTCTGCTGTCGCTCCCAGTGCGGGTTCGAGCCCACGCCACTCACCGTAGGTAGTCGTCAGGCCTCTTGTGTGGTGTCCTGTCGTCGGGAGCCGGTTCCCAGTCTTTTTTGTCTTTCTTGGCCTTGACCTTTTGAAGAGTATAGTAGGTCCTTTAATTTGTGGAACGTCCCTTGTTTGGGTTTGTCCGTTGTGTCTTCCTGCTGAGATCCCGGGCGTGCATTTTTAGCAAGAATGCCCCAGCAGTGGTGTGTCTTCCCAAGGTAGGCTGGTGTCGTGGCCCCTTGGGTTGCTTGGTTCAGGAGGTGTTGCCGGGCTTCTCCAGTCGGAACTAGACCACTAGGATTGCTTTCTCATTAATTAGTCATTTGGGGAAGGGGCTCCGAGACCGAAGCCTGTTTCTCATCAGACTTCGAACTGCTGGTGGTCATGTCCGTCGGTGGTTTTCTCTCTCTGGCCTTTCCTCTTTGCCCGTGAGCCTGCCCCTGCAGGGGAGTGGCGAGCCCTCTTGTCTCTGCCTGTGTGTTGGTCTGACTCGGGGGCTCGGGTTCTTGCTGGTCCAGCGCTTGTAACCCACGTGTTCATTACTCTGTCGTGGGTTATCGCAGGTGTTGGACACGTCATTCTGAAGAATAAGCGTGTGGGTACTTGGCTCTACGAAGACCAGGTTTTGTTGAATTTCACGTTGGCCAAACCAGTGGTTTGGGCCCGGGAGAGTCCAGTGGCCCTGAGGAGCTGGACCGGCCGTGTTCTGGGGGCTTGGTGCCGGGGAGGTGCCTGGTGCTGTGGACGGGTGGCCACCTGGGGGAGGCCGTGAGGTCTCAGTCTGCCTGAGGTGGGAGTCCCTGTCTGAGATGAAACACCTACACCTGAAACGCAAAACTTAGAGGATTTTGGGAAGAAAAAACAGGAAAATATTTTTCGGACATCAGCGTTGGGATGGATTACTGAAATTACAAAACAACCACAAGCGATAGAAAGAATTATTATATTTAACCATATTGAAGGTCAGGGCGCCGACTGAGGAACACTGTCAACGGAATGAAGTGACAGACGATAATCTGTGAGAAAATGACGGGACCAGCAGACAAAGGGTCGTCGCACGGTCCTGCCATAACCGCAGTGAGCAGAGAGTCTACAAATGAGTGAGAAGGCGAGGAGCAGCCTGCAGAGAAGGGACAGGCTTCGGCAGAGAGGACGTCAGGAATGCCCCCAGTGGTCAGGGAGGTGCTATTTCAGAAGGGGGACCTCACGCCGATCCAGGTGGCGGGAGCTCCGAGGCTGGCTAACACCCAGCTGGTGACGGGGGGCCGAGAGCAGGCGGCCCGGTGTGCGGAGCGTGGCTCCTGTTCTCCCCACCGCCTCTTGGAGAGCCGCGGGAGCTGCGCGCAGGCTTGGTTCTCACGGCGTAGCAGTGGGAGTTGGAGGACGCCGGCCGGCTGTCCACACGCAGGACTGAAATCTCCCGCCCAGAAGACGGACTTGGAAACGTGAACCTGAGCTTGGGGAAAGACGGGCTGCAAAATGGTAGGTGGCCTGTGTTACCCAGAGCGTCCACTGGAGAGAGCCGGTTCGTCGTGCAGTGCTCATGGACACCTGCGTGGGCACGGGTTCCGCAGCCGGAGAGAGCCGTGGCCTTGGGCGCGCGGTGGGGGTGGGCTTCAAGACTGTCTGTGGGATCCGAGCACCGGAAGAGAAGACCAGAATCAGATAAGGTGTGCTGTGATCGCTTCTCCCGTCTGTGTTGCGGGTGCTCCGGGATCCGGTCCCTGCATTGGTCAGTTTTGTAATCCGCACTTAAGATAGGGACGCGCTTCTGAGGTCTGCCCGCGTGCACGGTTACTGGGTTTCTCTGAAGACGTGGCGGCGGGCTGGGTTCCTCGGCAAGGGCGGCACACCGCAGACCTCAGTTGTCCTGCTTCCAAACTCTTGGCGGTGGCTTCTTGAAAAGAGTTATTTTCAAATAACTTCTACTTCTGGCATTCTTGTGTATGTGAGCTTGCAGGCAGAGCTCCCGCAGTGCTCGGCTCTGCTCCTTCCACGCTCGCTGGAGAGCAGCTGTCTTCCGCCCACCCAGCCCGGCCCTCGCCCCAGCACTCAGACTCCTGGGTGGGGGGGGCATGTGTGAGTTGACCCCTGGAAGGGTCTGGCATCCTGCAAAGTGGTGTACCTGGGAAATTGTCCCGCCCCAGACGCCAGAGGCCACCAGTCCCCAGCCGCTCTGCTGGAGGGAGACTGCTGCTACGTGTGGTCTCCTGATTCTCTGCGTGTGTGATTAGAAGTATTCGGTGTTACTCCTTGGAAAGCCTGACATTTCCTGTTCGGTACCCCCGTCCCCACCCCCTAGTGGAGATCACGTCTCGCAGAAGGTTTGCGGTTGGCGAAGGAGACACAGTGGAACATTCGCCAGCGTTGTGCGGCAAGGCCCTTGGAGAAACCGCAGGGTGCTGCCGCTGTCCGTTTCGGAGCCCGTCTTAAATCCCAGACAGTTTCTGTTGTGCACTTTAGGTGTTGGCAGTTAAGTTTAGGTCCTGGGATTCTCGGATCTCTTTCTTGAGTGTTTGCTTACTGTACTCGGTCTCACTCGTTACATTTCCTGTGATGTTTAATCCGCGATGCTGTCCTTTCACAGCCGCACTCCCTCCGTTTAGCATGTGTTCAGGGCAGACTTAGACACGCGCGCGTGCGCGCGCTTTGGGAGCAGAGTATCCCAGGGTCAGCCGCTCCTGTCTTGTCCGGCAGACATATGCCTGAAGGAGGTCACGTCCATGGCCGACAGCCTGTACAACATCCGGCTTCTGAGAGAGTTCGCCAACGAGTACCTCAACAGATGCTTCTATCTCACGCTGGAGGACATGCTCTATGCTCCCCTCGTGCTGAAGGTGACTGTGAGTTAGCAAAGACGCAGTTTCTGAACCCGTTTGTGAATAAGCTGCTTACTGCGCGCCTGGTTTTGTTTCTTTTCTTTTAGCCGAACGTTATGGTTTTCATCGCCGAGCTCTTCTGGTGGTTTGAGAACGTCAAACCGGATTTCGTCCAGCCCAGGGATGTTCAGGAACTGAAGGACGGTGAGTGGCGAGCCTTCTGGGAGCAGATGGTGGTCTTGTCCGAGATGCCGGGTGCAGTGATGGGAAGGCGCCCGTCACGGGGCTCTGCCTTTCCGCACAAGGTGGTGTTTAACTGCTTTCTCCTGGGAACACAGAGCCCTGGGCGGCCGTCTTCACTGTCGTGTGCTGCTGCACTGTGGCCTGCGGTGGTCACTGCACGAACTTTTCTGCTCTGGGCCCGTGCTTGTCTGCGGCATCAGAATCCCAGTGTATTTGGAGAAGCGCTTCTGGGGGCTTTCGGTTAGCCTCCCTGGAGCAGGGTGTACAGCTCCGCTCTCATCCATGAGGAATGAGAAACATCTGTTGACTATGGGCTAGGATAAATCTGCCAGCCCTGGGAATCAGCCGGGACCCTGGGAATCCAGGGAGGCGGGAGAGCGCAGTGTGGGAGAGCATCTCCGTGTCCACATGATTCCTTGTTAAGGATCTAAAAAGCCACACAGGAAACAATTAGAAATCTGCTGTATTAAAATTAAGATTTTTTTCATTGAAAGAAAGTAAAGAGTTAAAAAAAAGTCACAGTGGGGAGAAGGTGTTTATAATATGTACAACAGTTACCTGCTACTGCAGTGTGTTCCTGGTGTCTGACATCCTGGTGCCCAGTGTGTGTCCCCGGCACCTGGCGTGACCGGTGCCCAGAGCGTGTCCCTGGTACTCGAAGTATATAAAAGCTCATGCATATCAGTAAGAAAAAAGAACAGAAAAATGAGCAAGAGACTCAAATAGGGAGTTTAAGAAAGTCGTACTGCAGACGCCCAGTAACCTTGCGGGGAAGGGCTTAGCCAGCTTAGCACTGAAAACAGCACCGCTGGACGGACACCCCACAAGACTGGCAGTAGGACAGTCGAGCAGGGCCAGGGCTTGGGATGGGAATGCAGGTGCGGTTCCCTCCCCTTTTGTTTTTGGGGTGACAGGTCGCCCCAGCTCAAGGGCCTTTGCGTCACCTCTTGCCTGAGAGGCCGGGAGCCTTTTCCGCCTCTGCCAGCCAGGCCCCATCCTTGCTGCTGCCTCACTTGCCCTCCTTCGCATGGTGTCCTGTGAGGTCGCGCCCTGACCGTGACCCTTCTTTGCACCTTGGTCCTTGCTGTGCTCTCCTGGGAGCCCCAGCCCCCAGCAGTGTGTGTGGAGCCCGGTCGGCACCAGGGGTGCTGATGGGAACGAGATGCCTCGTGGTGACCATTCGGTGTTGTGACCTGTGCTCTGGCCGGAAGAGCTGGCCTCTGAAGGGGGTGGTGGTTTTTCAGAAAAAGTGGGAGGGAGGCGTGGAGGCAGCTGTGCAGGGCAAGGGGGCATGTGTGAGGCTCCCTGTGGGCTGTGGCCTGGCTCATGGGGCCCACCCGACCCCTCTCTTCTGTAGGGCGTGTCCTGGTCTGGTGCTGGCCGTATGGGTGCCACGCAGCCCGGCATGCTGGGAGCGTGTGGCCACCGTGTGGCCGCACCATGCAGACAGGAATGGCAGCCTCCAGGCTGACTGCGTGTGTCTGCTCACGGCTGTCACTGGTCCTCCCATGGTAGGTCTGGTGGAGTTGACATGCCACCAAGCGGTCACTGGTCTCCTCCGCGGGGCTGTGTGCTGCCTTTCGTCTCCCAGGTGCAGGCCCGTCCCTGCCTCTGGCTTGTCCACGCGTGAACCCGTTGTGTCCACGCGTGAACCTGTTGTGCCCACGCAGTGGGTTCTGCGGGCAGCCCGGTTGGCAGCGGCCAGCAGCCTAGTCCACATTCTGAATTGACGCGCTGTTGGCCAGGCTCGGGCTTTTCTTCTGCCAGCTGGCCGTGCCGTGGCTACGGGCAGGAGCTGGGGGACCGCCGGGGCTGCGGCGGACGTCGCCCACAGCCAGAGGCACCGACAGCTTCCGGGCGTGGTTGGAGGCCGGTTTGCCCTCCTCACTGGGAGCGCGGGACGGCGTTCTGCCCAGGACACGTTGTCCTGGGTGTCCTGTGGCTGAGGCATTTGGTCTCTGCCATGCCCAGTGTGTGCCAGGTTGCTTTGTTTGTTTGTCTAAAGATGTCCTTATTTGGGGAAGAGAGAGGGCGAGCGAGTGTGTGCACGCTTGTTGGGGGAGGGGCAGAGGGAGAGAGAAGCCCAGGCAGACTCTCCTCCGAGCACAGAGCCTGACACGGGGCTCGATCCCAGGGCCCCGAGATCATGACCTGGGCGACGCTGAGGGTCGGACGCTTCGCCAACAGAGCCCCCCAGGCACCCCAGGGCTTGGTGTGTGGAGGGGTGTGGCTCCTTGTGGCGGGCGGCGCGGCCCTGTCCAGCCAGCATCCGCGGTCGTCGTCCGTGTTTCTCGTCCTGGGACTTGGCACCCTGTGGCTCTTTTCCTGCCACTGACGCCTGCAGGGCTGTGTGGAGCCCTCCTGTGGAGAGGCCCTTGCCTGCTCTGTGCCCCCCGGCGGGAGCCGTGTTCCGGGGTGCTGTGTGACCTCCAGGACCCTCCCTTCACGGCACAGGCTGTGAGATGGAGTTTTTTGTGTTTTACTTCGGATGGGATGACCTGGGTTGTCTGACCCCTGCACCCCTGGTTCTAGCTCTGAGGTTCTGTTTCCCTGCTGGCACTCGCAGGGCCACTTCAGTGCGGGCCCTGGGGTGCAGGGTTTGCTCCCCGTGGCCCCTCCCTGACTTGGGCTGGGACCCATCCAGTTGCCGGGGGTGCAAACCAGAGTCTGTAGGCCCTTCACGGGTGCTGATCTTCTCCGTCCCCGATGGGGTTACTCGGGGTTCTGCTGTCCTCTTAGGGCTGGGGGCGTGGGGTGCGCAGCTTCTCCGGCTCCCCTCCGCCTTCCCACACGCGGGGCGGACGCAGCCAGCCCTCTGGCCGCTGGACTTCACTGGCCTCCACCTCCCCACTCCGAAGGGGCCGCAGCAGTGGTTCAGGCCTCCGGGTGTCAGGATCGCCTCACGCCTGTGTCCAGCCGTCAGTAACACTTCAAGTGTCCCTTTGCCCCAGCGCGTGGGCCCCTGAGTAAATGATGTCTGTCCCTGTGGGGCCTGACTCTAGGGTCAGTGCGGGTGGTCTTGCCTTGGTGTTGTGGGTTCTCGCTCCTGGCGACGACACTCATCTGGGCGGATGGTTCCAGGCGCAGACCCTGGCTCAGACCCAGCATGGGACGTGTGGGAGTGACCTCCTGGGCATGGGGGTTTGGGGGGCGCTGCCCTCTGCACCCTGAGCACCTGTGTTTGGTTTCTTCTCCCAGGAAGGGCTGCCCGGGGCTGTCTTGAGTCTGGGGCCACCGTGGCAGCCGGTGGCAGGGCGCCTCTGGTGATGGTGGCAGGTTGGTGGTGTTTGGAGACACGCCCGCCAGTTTTGGTTCTTCTTGCCCTAATCTGTGGTGTAGCTTTTCATTTTCGTAGCCATCTTGGTGTAACATTTGCAGTATTCATTACTACGAAGTACACTCATTAATTTGAAACCAGTGATTTGGACAAATTTGTTTTAAGGTAAAAGTTTCATTAATTTTTAGTTCTTATAAAAGCTGTGAGTCTTTTTTTAGGTGCTTTTTGCCGATGTTTCATTTATTATTTTTTAAAGATTTTATTTATTTATTTATTGGACAGAGATCACAAGCAGGCAGAGAGGCAGGCAGAGAGAGAGGAGGGGAATCAGGCTCCCTGCTGAGCAGAGAGCCCGATGCGGGGCTCCATCCCAGGACCCCGGGATCATGACCCGAGCCGAGGGCAGAGGCTTTAACCCACTGAGCCACCCAGGCGCCCCCTTGCTGATGTTTTAAGTAACTAAATAACGTGAACATTTCTGTAAATTGTGATTTCTGCAGCTAAAGCAGTGTCCCACCACAAGAGCAGTCGGCCTCCCGTTCCCATCTCCAACGCCACCAAGCGCAGCTTCCTGGGCGGCCCCGCGGCGGTGAGCCCCGCCGACGCGCCGCTGCCCACCCAGCCGCCAGCTGAGGGTGGCCACAGGCACCGCGCGCACGACGAGCCCGAGCATCTGTGAGTCCCCGGCCCGTACGCCTGTTCTAGTTGCGTGGCAGCTTGAGTTGCAGCGTCTTTCCGAAGGGGTGATGGAGAAGGTGCTGGGGGGTTGGCCGTGGGAGGGCCTCCGCCGGCCTAGCCCCCTGCCCCAGGACCCTCCGGGCATGCAGAGGGGCCGCAAGTCCCTGTGAGCCTGAGTTGCAGTTTTGGGATATTTACCCCAGGTTGGAAATTTTGGGTACTTTTTGGGCTTGTTTTTGTAATAATTAATTTTTCCCAAAGAATCTGCGATTCTCTCCTAGACTGCCGTGAGCCTGTGCCGTTCTCTTGAGTTTACTGAATTTGCCGTTGACCGTGTGGACTGACAAGCCAGTGACTCTCTTTCCTGTTCTTTCCTGTTTAGGGGGAAGGGGGCTTCTGCCTTCAGCCCGTCCCATCCTTTACTGCCTCTGAGACAGAGACAGCAGAAGGCCGTGCAGGGGGAGGGCCCTCCCGGTAAGAGCGCCGTTTCCCCTTCGCCCGCCTTCGCCCTCTGTCCTTTCTCCTGTAACTTATTAAAAAGATCGTTCCCAAGTTGAATGTTCCTACTGTGATGTGGTGATTTTAGTTAGGAAGATTACGGTAGAATAAATTTTAATTTGTATTGACATTCCTTAGGATTTATAGTCTTTATAGGGAAAATATCTTTAAAATCTAATAAATTATATGAAGTATACAGAAAATTGCCGTGTGTTAGCTAAGCAGGAACGTCTGTGTGTTGATGTTTATTGAGGTCTGGTTATTTCATGTCGTGATGTGGACTAATTACTGAGTAGGAATCACTCACTGGAATTCCCGAAATTTGCATTGCGATGCTCTGCTTTCCTTGGGCGGTTGTGTCCTGCGTTATGGCGCATTTGCTTAAGAAATGGTCATTATGTTGAAAGAATTTCAGATGCTATGAAGTGATTTGCTTAACCCCGAGCATCCCGCTCTCCCCACACGCAGATCAGAGACACCGGTCCAGTTCTCTAACCCGAGTCGACGCTCAGCCGCGCGGTGCAGCACTCGCGTGGTCGGAAAAAAAGAACAGGTGAGCTCCGCCTGTCAGAGACGCTTGTGTGTGACGTGCTCGCTAGGCGAGCACAGTGGCTCTCCAGATGGGCTCCATCCCCGGTCCACGGGGCAGAACTGTTCCATGACGGCGCTGCGCCCTTCTGCGCTTTCCTCACTCTGGAGGTCGATTGAATTGGAGTCAGACATGGGAGTCTGGGTGGACAACAGGGACAATTACAAAAGTGTTTCATATTATAAACTTTTTTTTTTAAGATTCTATTTATTTATTTGACAGAGATCACAAGCAGGCAGAGAGGCAGGCAGAGAGAGAGAGGGGGAAGCAGGCTCCCCACGGAGCAGAGAGCCTGATGTGGGGCTCGATCCCAGGACCCTGAGATCATGACCTGACCTGAAGGCAGAGGCTCCCCAGGCGCCCCTCAGTTTTAATTTCTCGTGTGATAAATTTTCATATTGATAAATATATACTAAAAACTCTTTGGTGTCCTCAGTGATTTTTAAGGGTGTAAAGGGGTTCTGGACTGAAACATTTGAGACTTGCTGAACTGAAGCTGGTCTCTGTTGTCCCCTGCCCTGGGAGAGGGTTTGCTTAAATCCTCTAGACCTCTGGTTTGTCGTCTTTTTCTGTCACTAGTATCGTGTCGCTCAGTGTCTGAGTCACTGCTTGTATAGACAGTGGTGTGTTCAACGGCTTCTTTCCCCACGCTGCAGGCCTGTGTCACAGCCGGCACCCTTCGCGCTCCATCACGCCACCAGCTGTGACATGGACCCCGGCTCCAGTGACAGCATCAGCCTGGCCCGCTCCATCAGTAAGGACAGTCTGGCCTCCAATGTCATTAACCTGACTCCGCAGAACCAGCCACAGCCCACGGCGCTGAAGACCGATGGGAAGAGCCTTCTGAACAATGTGGATATTGAGGATGAGGAGGAAGAGCTGGTGGCCATCATTAGAACGGATGTGGCGCCCCACTGTGGTGACCGGGGCCTGCCCCCAAGCGCCAGGTCTCCCCAGAGGCTGGTGGATGCCCTCGAAAGTAAGCCTGACAGTTTCTTCCTGGAGCCGCTGATGCCGGCCGTGCTTCGGCCCACCAAAGAGAAGCAGGCGATTGCCAAGGAGGAAGAGTGTGGGGAGGGGCGGCCACGGAGCTTTACATCCAAGAGGCCCAGCGAGGGCCACCAGCCCCTGGTGCGCAAGAGGGCGCCCAGCAGTCACGGTGCTCGTGACCTGAGTAGGACTTTCACCCCGATCTCCTGTGCGGAACTCCCTGTGGGCATGGAGCCCGCGCCCACGGAGCCGGGGCCACTGGTGGCCGGGGACGCCCGCGGTGGGCTCCTGGGCAGCGGTGGCTTCAACCTGTTACCTCAGGGGCACACTGCCGATGGCTTCTTCCTTCACGTTGCCAGAGCCGATGAGGACCCCGAGGGCAGGTTCTGCGTCGGCTGTGCCCAGAGCCCCGGTGCCCACGAGCCCGAGCCGTGGGCCGTCCTGAGGCAGGACTCAGACTCGGACGTGGCGGACCTGGAGGAAGCCGAGCAGGATTTCGTGGGCGAGGATCCCCCCGTGGTGACGGCCAGGTGTGTCGGTGAGGAGGAGTCAGCCAAGCTGCAGGAGGACATGAAGGGGAAGGAGCACGAGGACAAGGACGACGCCAGCGGCCGCTCGAGCCCATGCCTGAGCACGGTGTCTCAGGTCAGCAGCGTCTCCGTGGCCAGCGGCAGCGTGAAGATGACCAGCTTCGCGGAGCGCAAGCTGCAGAGGCTGAACAGCTGCGAGACCAAGTCGAGCACCAGCAGCTCCCAGAAGACCACGCCGGACGCGTCTGAGAGCTGCCCGGCCCCTCTGACCACGTGGAAGCAGAGGCGGGAGCAGAGCCCGAGCCGGCAGAGCCGGGAGCACGCCAGCCTCCTGGCTTCCGAGCTGGCACAGCTGCACATGCAGTTGGAGGAGAAGCGCCGGGCCATCGAGGCGCAGAAGAAAAAGATGGAGGCCCTGTCGGCCCGGCAGCGGCTCAAGCTGGGCAAGGCCGCCTTCCTGCACGTGGTCAAGAAGGGGAAGGCCGACGGCGCGCCCCCGCCGCGCAAGCCGGACGCCCTGGCGGGAGAGTACGCCCAGCACAACGGCGAGGACTTCGACGGCGGGGTCTGCAAATCGGAGGAGTTCCTCCTGAAGGACGAGGGCCGGGAAGGCATCCTGGCGTCTCCAGACGTGGACGCGGAGGGCCTGCTTCTCCTGCAGCCGCCCAGAGCGAAGGTCCCCGCTGCGCTGCCCGAGCTGGAGAAGAGCAAGGCGCTGTCCGCCGCCCTGCTGGAGGACGCCGGCGAGGCGCTGGACGCGAGTGAGTGTGACCTGTCCATCGAGAAGCTGAACGAGACCATCAGCACGCTGCAGCAGGCCATCCTGAGGATCTCGCAGCAGCAGGAGCAGCTGCTCATGAAGCCCCCCACGGGCCCGGGCCCGAAGCAGAGCGCCCAGGACCAGAAAGTCAGGGCGGCCATCCACTTCGTGGAGCCTCTCTCTCCGCCCGGGACGACGGGTCACCGCAAGCCTCCCCGCCTTGGGCAGGGTCGGAACTCCCGCTCGGGCAGGCCGGCTGAGCTCAAAGTGCCCAAGGACCGACAGCAGGCTTCCTCCCGCAGCAAGACCCCCACGCCCAGTAGAGAGACCCTCCCTCACCTGCGGCCCTTCCCCCCTCGGACCCCCTCCGACCCGGGCTGGGACAGTGTTGCGGAGCCTGGAAATGAGCCTCATGACAAATGCCTCTTCGACAGCTACAGGCTCCACGATGAAAACAACCAGCGGACTTTTGTCTTGCCCCCTTCCAAAGACACAAACATCCTCTCGGAACAGGTGGGCCTCAAAGATGTTCTGGATGGCAGCGTGGAGGAGGCGGCGCTCGGCTCCCCGGCTGTGTCCGGGAAGGAGAACGTCCCTGTGGACGAGCCCCCGAGGAGCAAGGCCAGTCTCATCGAGGTGGACCTCTCGGACCTGAAGGCCCCTGACGAGGACGGGGCGACGGAGGGCCCCCAGAGCTCGGAGGACCTCGCCAGCGAAGGGGACCAGAAGCCGGGGGTCGGCTTCTTCTTCAAGGTAAACTGTCGGATGGGTGTCGGGCTTCCTCTCCTGCCCTTGGTTTTACGGGTGTGTCAGAGGCTCACACTCCGTGCTGGGCCCCATGCGCTCTGTCGCCAGGACCTGGCTCCGCTGGAAACACCCACGGGTGCGGCCTGTTGCAGTGAGCGTGGCCATGTGCCCATGAGGCTTCAGTGCCGGGCCCGAAACGGGAATCCCATGCCGCTTTCACGGCTCAGAAGTGTTCTGTTCTTTTGATGGTTTCCGGACCGTTCGGTAAACGCCGGTGGTGTTAGCTCGTGGGCCTGTGGGGGCTGGGTCCGGCCTCCAGGGCAAGGTTTGCCGGGCCTGGGAGAGCAGTGGGATCTCTGAGGAAGCTTCCCGTCGGGCTCTGTGTCTTTCTTATAGTGTTTTCTGAGGTAGAAAGGGAGGCTGGTTGTGGGAGCTTCCCCGCTGTTTTCTACCACTTCTCCCACGGGCCCAGGGTGGGTCTCCTCTGACCAGCAGCCAGGCTGTGTGTGGTGCCTGATGCTTCGAACGTGTCCGCGAATGGCGGTCAGTCCAGGGGTCAGCTCCTGTGTGGAAAGCAAGGCAGACGGGACCCAGTGGGAAGGTGACGGCTGGGGCTGTTTTCAGGGTGGCCTAGTTGTTCCCGAGTGTCCTCGCGTCTGTGAGGATGGCCCGATCCTCGGTGAGGGAGTCCGGGACACGTGCGGCCGTGCCGGGACCTGCTGTCGGCGCACGTCCACTGCGGGGCTGTGTCCCGCGGGTGACGCGAGCGGCCCGCTTGCAGGACGAGCAGAAGGCGGAGGACGAGCTGGCCAAGAAGCGGGCGGCCTTCCTCCTGAAGCAGCAGCGCAAGGCTGAGGAGGCGCGTGCGCGGAAGCAGCAGCTGGAGGCGGAGGTGGAGCTCCGGAGGGACGAAGCCCGGTGAGCCCGCCCCACCACACCCCTGCTCGGGCCTCCCTCGCCTGGCTGGCTCCCTCTTCCCGCCCTGTCCCCATCCCGCCCCCATCCCGCCCCAATGGGGCCAAGCTGGGCTCTGCTTTACACCCTTAGGGCTGGTCCCCCTCGACGTGCACGACCGTCTGGGATGTGGGTGCTCGTCCGGGGGTGCCGCAGGGTGGGGGCGTCGGGCGTGCATGGGTGTGGAGCGCGGCGGCCGCCGGCCCCGCGAGCCCCGGGAGCAAGTGTGAGCAGACGTGGGTCCCACGCAGGCGGAAAGCGGAGGAAGACCGGGCCCGGAAGGAGGAGGAGAAGGCGCGGCGGGAGCTCATCAAGCAGGAGTACCTGCGTCGCAAGCAGCAGCAGATTTTAGAGGAGCAGGGGCTGGGCAAGCCCAAAGCCAAGCCCAAGAAGCCGCGGCCCAAGTCTGTCCACCGCGAGGAGTCGGGCAGCGACGCGGGGACCAAGTGCTCCTCCACCCGTAAGCAGGAGGGGCGCGCGGGGCGGCCGCGTGTGGTGGCGGCGGGGGGTGCCGCGGCGGGCCTGGCGGCAGCTCTCCTCTCCCACCAGCCGACCACCTGAGCCGGGCCCAGTCGGGCTCCAGCCTGTCCCTGGCCTCCGCGGCGACCACCGAGCCCGAGAGCGTGCACTCGGGGGGCACACCTTCCCAGCGGTAAGGGGGCCTGTGGGGTGGACGTGGGGGGTTGCTGGCTGTGACTCTGGGGTGATTTCCCGGGGACTCCTCTCCGCCCCGCCCTGCAGGCTGCGTCAGAGCCGTGGCGCTGGAGCCTCCATGCAGGGCTGCCTCTTCCCTGTGAGCCCGGACGCGTCCCTGAGTACCACGGTTCCCAGCAGTGCCTCGCTGGGGCCTCCAGTGCGCGCTCTGCTGTCACCAGCCGTCCCGTGGTGGCATTGAGGGCTTAGGACCCTGATCAGGACTGGCCCTCTGCCCTCTGCCCTCCGTCCCCTGGACGTGGTTCCTGTGGTGACCGCCCCTCACTGGGTTCAGCCTGCGGGTCTGGTGGCCGCTGGTGCTTGGCCTGCGTGAGGCCGGGTTTCTGTGGCGTGGGACAGCTTCCCTTGGGACTCTGCAGTAATGGGGGACGCACGGGGGACCACGACCGATGGCCTTGTGCCTTTTGCACATGTGTCGTTGGCCCCACATGTTTTCCATCCTTTACTGTGTGTGCCTTCTTGGGGCTGTGGCCACATGGTCCTCTTCGTCATGTGGTTGGTGGCTTCCTGTCACCAGGGCCCTGCACACGGCCCACGTCAGGGACCCTGGATCCTGGCTGGGGTTTGGTTCTGCCGCTGCGTCACCTGGGCTGGCCGGCCCCTTTGGGGCAGCCATGTGCTGCTTTGCCACCGTTGGCTTCTGCTGGGCTCTGTGGGGACTGCCCCAAGGGATGCACTTAGGTCTGCCTGGTGTCGGGGAGGGGTCGAGACCTGGGCTTCTGGACTCCGTCCACTCTGTTCCTTCCCGGGGTCTGTCTCTCGTGTGTCAGCAGCGCAGATTTCCCAAAGTGAGTCTGGAAGCTTCCTGAGCCAGCAGAGTCTCCGTGCTGCTTTCCTGCTCCGTCGGGGTCCCGCCTCAGGCAGGCGTCTGACGGAGGGCAGCGTCCCTCCAGGGTGTCTACTCTTGTCACTGTGTTCTGCCCTGAGTTTGTAGTCATGCTTGGGGGGCGGAGCGGGTGGGGTAGCCCGACTCCTCCACGGTGGACGTTCCTTCCTGCCCGGATGGTGTGGGCTGGGCGAGAGGGCATGCCTGTGACCGTCCCTCCCTGCCCCTGCCACCCCTCTGTTTCAGAGTCGAGTCCCTGGAAGCCTTGCCCACACTGAGCCGCAATGCCAGCCGGAGCACAGACAGAGACTGGGAGACGGCGTCTGCAGCGTCCTCTCTCGCGTCCGTGGCCGAGTACACAGGTAATGCGGAGGTCATGGGCGCGTCCCTGCCGCGGGGGGGGGGGGCGGGGGGGGGGAGCCTCGGCCCCGCGGCCCGGCCCGCGCCCCTCGTCTCGCCGCCTTCCCGGCCTCCGGGCCTCCGGGCCTCCGGGCCTCCCGGCCTCCCGGCGCCCCGGCCTCGCGGCGCGGCCCCGCAGCATGCAGCAGCAGCACCCGCGGCGGCGGCGGCGGCGGCGGCTGTGAGGTGAGGCCGGGGCGGGGGCGGCCTCCCGGGGACGGCGGTGCTCGCGGGCCCGGCCCCCTCGCGGGTCCCGGCGCGGCGAGGGGCGCGGCGCCTTTGTTGCGGCGGAGGCCGGGCGCCGCCCGCGCCGCAGCGGCCTTTTTGTGTGCAGATGGTGGACGCGGGCGGCTGCCCGGCCGGGGAGGGCTGGAGGAGGATGGAGGCCGCGCCCGAAGGCGCCGTGGACATCGTGCCCCTGGACCGCTACGACTCGGCCCGCGCTAAGATCGCGGCCAACCTGCAGTGGATCTGCGCCAAGGCCTACGGCATCGGTGGGTCGGGGCGGGGCAGGGGCGGGGGTCCCGGGGGCGGCGGTGGGGCCGGGGCCGCCTTTGTGCGCGGGGTCCGGGGCCGCACGGCGCCGCGCGGGGGTTCCTCCGGAGCCGGCCGGCCGCGGGCCGGGGCGCGCGATGGCGGGGGCGCGGGCGGGGGTCGCTCGGCAGGTGCTGCAGGAGGCGGCGCGTCCGCGGCCGCAGCTCAGTGGCTGCGCGGGGGTGGGTGCGGGGCCCGCCGTCCTGCCGGGGGGTGGGTGCGGGGGCAGACCCTGGACGCCCTGCGCTGGCGGGGCGCGCAGAAGCTCGTACGCGGAACTGCCCGGTCCCCGCGGTGGGCTCCGGTAGTGAAGAACTGGGTAACCTTGTAGCCGCATCCGCTGCGTTCGGTCCTAATGTGCTTAGCGGATTACGATGTTTCTGGCTCCAGCTCTCGGAACTCCCAGACGAAGGGCCCCGTCGTGACTTTGTAAGACCCGGTGCTTTGTTTTGGGTCCGTGCTGGACGCTGGCGCTGGGCAGCCTACCTTTTCCGTGGACGCCACTGTCCGGCGGCCTTTACTCTGGTGCACACGTCCCGGCTCCAGGGCCGCAGCAGCGACGTGCGGAGCGGCCCTTGGGGATGGACTTGGCGGACCCCGCGTGAGCCCGTCCGGAGCAGGGTGGCCCCGGGACAGGATCGCACCAGTTGGAGCGGTCTGTGCGCGGGGGAGGCCCGGCGGGTCGTGAGGGTAAACGGCCTGCGGCCTGCGCTGGTCGGCGTCCTTGGGTTGGCTGGACAGCGTGCAAGGAGCGCCTTTTCCTCCTTTCACAGCCTTGGGATCTGCGGTTTCGCTGATGGCTGCTCTGAAGCGATGCAGTTTCTAGGGAGTTGGGTGCACCCGTGAATTTTGTGATTTTAGGGAAACCATGGAATTGATAAAAACCGCAGGAACGTGAGAGTGAGCCATGAGGAGGAATACCGGGTGTCTCGCAGCCGGGGTAAGGAAGGGCCCCTGAGCCTGGTGGGCCTTTGCGGCGTTGCCTCTGCCTGCCTGGGACGCGCGGCCGTTGGCTGGTTTTTCTCTGCTGTCGCCTCCGAGAGGGCTTTCCGACGTGCTCCGTCTCAGGTTCTTTCCAGCTCCGGGCAGACTTCCTGCTTTTCCATGGCCGTGTAGTACTTCACCGGAGGCTCCCTCACCGCACACGGGCGCTGGCGGGGCTCCGCGCCTGCCTCCGAAGCCCAGTGTGTCCTTGGGCCCGGCTCCTGGGGCATGTGTGCAGGGTCTCGCTCCTGTGTGTGTTTCGGAGATTTTATGTATGGAAATGACTGTCCTGCTGGTGAATGCTGTGCGGGCACAGATACTTTTCAGAAGCCCTCTCGTTGCTCGCTTTCCGTTTCTTTAGCAGAGCAGATGTGTGTGTGTGTCGCTGCGCTCAGCTCTGGCGGCCGGCGTGGGCTTCGTCCGCTCTCTGGAGATGAGTGTGCGTCTCTCAGGGTCCAGTTTTATTCCCAGTACCAGATCTCTCTTCGGTGCTTGTCGACGCATCCGGTAATTAATTCAGAGGTTCATTGAAATAGGCCTTACGGTTTTGGGATCATTAAAGGTGGGTGTTCGTAGAGCAGAACGGGTGTGGGAGCTGGAGGAGGAAGGATGCTGTCCCAGGACCTGAGACCGGATTCCGTGTTGCCCGTCCGGCGTTCAGTGGCTCTCCTGTCGCGGTGGCGCGGTGGCCAAACGCTGAGTTTAGGAGGTCTGGTTTCCGTTCAGTTTTGCCAAACAAAAAGGCTTTTCCAGTCTGTACGTTGATTCAGAAGGGGAACAGACTTTTTTTTTCCCTAGTTGAATGTCTCTTTAAATTTACGAATTTGGGCGATCCTGTCACGTGACCCAGAAGCCTCACCTTGGCTCAGCTGGAGTGGGTTCGTGGAGGTCGCTGGTGTGGAGGTCACGGCCTGGGTGGGAGACTGGCGCTGCCCGCAGTCTGTCTGGTCTTTCAGGAGAGCAGAACGGTGGAGGGGAGTGGATTTTGATAGGATAGTTTAGACAGCACCCTGCTCCCGCCTCCCCGCCGAAATTCTTCTCCTAATCTAGGGGCCTGTTCTTTGTTTCTTCTCTGGGACAGCTCCCTGTGTCTCTCCGGTTTAGTTCCAGCTAATTAGACGCGTTCTTCGGGTCTGCAGCTTCCAGGGCGCGTCGGTGTTGTGGGTGACAGTGAGAGCGGCTTCAGTGTTTCACCTGGACGGTTGTCATTGAGTAGCTGCGTGAACCTGAGTAGCTTCCCCTCTGTGCGGGAATGGAAAGCACGCAGACGCTCTAGGGCCAGGTGCTCCGAGGCTGCCGTCATGCTTTGTGTCTGCCTTGGGGGACTGTCCGCGTCCCCCGGGTCACTGCGTGCCATCTGTAGTGCCGGGGAGGCTCAGGGGCGTGTCCCTCCGCCAGGCCTGCTGGTGGCCTGCTGATGGCCTGCCGTGATTCAGAAAGGCGCCTTCGGCTCGCTGCAGCCCAGAGCCGGGGCCACCTTGTGCTTGCTCTGCCCCTCCTCGGGGTGACTGTGGTTTCGTGGAGAGTGGTGTCGTTATTTTCTTAGCGGTAATGGACTGCATGTGCTGAAGGAGTTCATTTAAAAGTATCTGCAAGAAAGAGTAGAAGCCGGTGCCTGGCTGGCTTGGTCGGTAGGCCGTGAGACATTTGGTCTCTGAGTCCTGAGTTCAAGACCACCTTGGGGCTAGAGCTTACTTACGAAAGCCAAAAGAAATAAAAGTAGGGTTTACCTGGGAAATTTTGTGATGTCTTTTTCGGTGAAAGTTGTAAGAAATTTGTAAAAAAGGAGTGACCTGAAGTGCCATTTGTTTACAGGGAAGAGTGCTGTAAGGGGTTACCGCGTTCCTGGCTTTGATTTTAGCTCATGACCTTAGAAGCTTAAAGGGTTCTAGGCCTTGGTTTCAGGGGTAACGGCAGGGTATAATTGTTCTCTTCCAAGGACAGTGTTGAACCAGCAGGCAGGGAAAGTACTGGAAGGCACTCAGCTGTTTTCAGACTTGTTGCTACGTGGCCGAGTGCTGGTGACTTTCCTGTCAAGGAGCCCCGGGAGCCAGGCTGACACTGGTCACACCTCAACACTCCCTGGCCAGGGGCTGAGCTGCCCGAGCTGGGCAGGCCCGGAGGGGCCACCAAGGCAGCTCACGGGGGTGGAGAGAGCCTGTCCTCCTCGAGCGATTGACCCTCGTCCTCGCACTGGAGTGATCAGACAACTGATTGGGAAAGTGTGTTGTGGGAAGGGAACTCCTCATGGCTGGGCTGGGTCTCTGCGGCGGAGCTGGGGGATCTGCTGCTGTGTCGCGTTCTACAGACTGCAGGGATGGCCTGGACCCTGTCTGCTCAGTGGGTGTCAGGAGCAGCCTCTCTTCAGTGTCAGCTCTGGGGCTCACCACCTTGCTTTGTCACAGGGACCTTTGGTGAAAATGAACTGTGTGCTCCGAACCCCTCTCCAGGCCCCAGAACTGGAAGTAGAGCCGGGGCTGCTCTTGTCCCTAGGCTGGTAGGAGAACAGGCCCTTGTGTGTCTCAGTCGGGAGGTCCTCATTTGCAAGCAGATGGTCGTTTTTTTTAACCCGGTGATTCACTCAGATTCCTGGTTTATGAGTTCACGTTGTATTTTTTTTTTAATTAAAAAAAAATTTTTTTTTGAAGACCTCATTTATTTATTTGACAAAGAGGGAGAGACACAGTGAACACAAGCAGGGGGAACTGCAGAGGGAGAGGGAGAAGCAGGATCCCCATTGAGCAGAGAGCCTGACATGGGGCTCGATCCCAGGACCCTGGCGTCATGACCCGAGCCGAAGGCAGCTGCTTCACGACTGAGCCCTGCAGGTGCCCCTGGATTGTACTTTCTAATAGTCGATTGTTTTTGGCAAGAGCTTTGGGGACTTTGGAGGTGGAGGGGCCAGGCAGCCTGGATGTACCCTCTAGGTTTCCTAGATAGTAAAGGGGCTGCTGCTTGGCCTGTGGCACGACCTTCCCTCTGCTCGGGAGCGCTGAGGACTGCCTGGTGTCTGTGGGGCCAGGGGTCCCGGTTGTCCTGGTGGATGCTCTGTTTGCCGCACTCAGCTGCTTGTCCGGTGGGTGCCAGAGCTGGAACCCTTCTTGAAGCGGCTGGGGTGTGGAGAGAGACGATGTGTGTTCCGTCCCCACGGCCGTGACCTGCGTGAGTTTGCGTTTCTAAAGCTCTACCAGTTTGCACGCATCCCCTTTCCTGTCCTGTTGCCACCGGCTGAAGCTAACCGGGGCGCGGATGTCCACCTCGAAGTTCAGACTGTCCCGATCCTTTACATGGGAGCGACCCTCAGAGCGGCCGGCCGCTCCCAGGCTGCAGCGGTAAACTCGCGCACGTGTCCCTCCAAGAACCCCGTCCGTGTGACCTTTACCCCCGACTAGCTCCTGGGCTTCCCCTGCTGTTGATTGGTTTCGTGGCTGTGGTACCGTACGTGGACAGTGTTCTTTCTTACTCCCTAGTTGGACGGTTGAGCCACTCCGATTGCTTTCATCCATCGTCTGATCGGAGCGTGGCCGGGTTGGGGCCAGCGATCACCGCGTGCTGCCCCGGGCGTCACTTCGTGTGCGCTCCGTAGTCCAGGGCGTCCGTATGGGCCGAGGTGCGTCCATCAGCCTGAAGCCCACGCGAGCTGTGTAGGGAGGGAAGGGAGGTGAGCGAGCG